TTTTAAAATGTGTATTAATGATTCAGTAAGAAACATCACAATCTGTTTCGCTTAAGGCACAGCCAAGGTACACAATGCAAATCCAGAGGAGTACAAAAAAATATTTTTTTAGAATAAATCAAACAGATAGGTGAAGAGCGCTAAGAATATACATACATACTTACAAAGGATGGAGGTAGATTTCACAGTTGTGTGTCTTAAAGAAGGAAATACAATAAAAGTGCAATATGCAAATACAATAGTGCAAATATAGTATTTAGGTGCCAGAGGAACACTCACACGTTTTAGAGCTTTACAAGCTCTATTTATGGAGCCTGGATGGAGTAGACCCCATCTATGGATTTCTTTGTAGTTATCAACACTGTGTAGTTCTCAAAAGGATGAGGTTCATCATATGCAAAAGATAAGTATAGATACCAATGGTACAGTATATAAATGAATGGTGAATAAGAAAAATTAGACCTACTTACATAAACTAGAGCAAAGACCTGCTCTCGTGTGTGCAACTTAGGTGGAGCAATTCCCACCTAGGGATGTATGTGGACCCGAAACAGCAGTTGGATGGTGAGAGTATGAGGTACAATATATGACTGGATTGTAAAAGAGATCTTTATTTGTAAATACAGAAAATATAATATAAAAACTATATATAAAACTATATATTAAAAAGGTGAACTATATAATAAAAACAGTCCTTATGGACAATAAGGACTGGGTTTTCTATATATTCTTAGTGCTGTTCCCCTATCTGTTTCATTTATTCTAATTCACTCCACACAAGGTTAAGGGAACTCGTTGTTGGTGAATAGCTGCTGTTAGATCAGATAGAGAGCACGTATTACTACCCTCTTTTTCATTACCTAGAAAATAGTTTTTGCTTCTTCTCTCCCCATAGCTATGTTGAAAAGGGTAGAAAAGGGTGATATGCATGAAACTGATTGTCATGGAACCAAGATGGGACTCCCAGTTCAATGACACAAATGTGGTTTCTAAATCAATTTTTTTCAGACTTCAAAAAAACATATTTGCTCTATATGCTCTATATGTGAAATAATAAACAGTAAACATAATATTAAAAATAGATAAGAAAAAGTGCTGGTGCGCAGAAATTAAAAACAAAACACCTCAAGTGTTCATATTTGTTGTAAAGTGCTTTTAAAATACATACAAATTGGAACTGGTGTTATCCCACATTCAAAACACATATAGCAAACACACATGTGCACATACTTGTAACCTGTAAGTATGCACTGATGGTTTCTAAAAATAGGAGACAATAGGGGGCCAAAAAGAAGCACTCCTAGTGCAATAAAGTTATTAAAATCATATAAAAGACTTTGAACCTCTGAAAGAATAGAACTCACAAATTTGGAGTGGTAATAGCCCCACTCAAAGCTATAACGCCCAGTCCCTAGAGTACGTGGGATCCAATAGATGCTTAGCAGCAAAACAAATGAAAAGTCCACTGTCTGCTCACCAACCTGTGGGGAGTGAAGTGCCGTGAAGCAGTAACCGCCATCTTCCTCCTCCTGGTTGTAGTTATTCTTGCCGGTGTACAAGCTGTAATCACTTCCATGTTACTGATCCCGTGGTCCCGTGACGCGTTTCGCGCCTCCTCCTGGGGCTTAAAAATCATTATGAGTGATATCTCCCCTTTAACCTCCAAAACCCAGCAAGAAAAATTGTGAATATTTAAGTTATCAGTCTTAGCCTAGAACATGGGTTCCCAAAAGGAAGAGCCCCCGATGCTTTGAAACTAGAGCTTCATTGATGCTTTGCCATTATAAAGGCATTCCGAAGGCATGCAAAGTATCATGGGAGTTGCAGTTCTACAAATTCTGGGGATCTACCTATGGTCACTCCTGTCTAACAATATGTAAATGGATGTTTTTACCCCACAACTCATTCAGGGTTATTTATTAAAGTGTAACATTCACTTTAAGTTGGAACTTTGTAGAAGCCCCTTCTGTATTTCACAATCACACACAGAAGTTTAAAATAATACATTTTGTACCGTGTCAGAAAGCAGCGAGACGGCAATAAGCCCAGTATTGTTTGAACTGTAACGTATTGTCTTGTGTCGAACTGTACTTTTTTTTCCTAATAATTTAATTTTAATGATCATTTTAATCATCCGTGTTCTATCTTCTCTAAGTCCCTTATAATTAGTATCGGACTTGGTTACAGTGAGATATTGCTTTGCTAACTCTTCCTACCTTGAAAAAAAATAAAAATCAAATGTACAAAAATAATGAGAGAGTCTGGAAAATATTCAAAGCTGTACCAATCACGGTCACATACAAATGAGCACGTTAAAACAGGTTATAAAAATAGATGTTTCATCATCATCATAACAATTACTTTGTTATAATGATGATCCCTCCCCAGGGGAACTTAGTCTAACAGCGCACATATTCAGATTGCTTAAATTATTAATGTTATGGTATTAAAGTTAGGGTTGTTTTTCAGTGGTGCTTAAACCAACTGAGCTATCTCACTCCCATCGAAATTATCATGAAGTTAATGGATTATGTTTAAAAAAATCGCCAAATCCCCATAGGTAATAGGTCCACTAAATCCTGCAACTTGTAGGGAAATGATAATTAAGGTAGACTAATAATTTAAGAAATAGATAATTATTCTAAAAATTCTGTGTAGCGAGTTTAGAAACTTTTTTGTAGGTATAGCTCAGCATGTCTATCTCTTTCAAAGTATATATTACCCCATTGAATTGTGTTGATGGACACTTTGAAGATAAATAAAAACAAGGTTAAAACAAATATGAGAAATAAACTATCACATTGAAAACTTATTTAAAGGAACACTTTAGTGTTAGGAATACAAAGCTGTATTCCTAACAACACAAAGTCCCCTTGCCCCTCCCCCCTACTAAAGGGATAAAAATCCTTAAACACTTACCTCTTTCCAATGCCGAAGTCCATGGCTCCCTCTACGCCTTTTCTTTGGGTTAGGCCTTCCCTATAGGAAAGCATTGAATTAATCCTTTTTATTGGGTTTTGCACACACTGACCAAATTTCTGAAGTGCCACAAGTGCAAAATATAACAAAGTGCAAAGTGATAAAAAGTGCACTCAATGTGTACAATGATAATACCATATAAGATATACTTATACATACATATTTGCGTCCTCTCCAATAGTAGTGAACATATGGAAGGGAGAGACACAGAAAAAACAACAATAGTGTAAATCTGTTAAAAAAAAAAAACTTATCGTGAAATAAAAAATGACGTTTGCTCTAACTGTATCAGCTTCTTCAAATATTCCCTTAGGGAAAAGGACTGCACGGACAAAATATTCCAATACACATATTTATTGCCCAACACAGCACAGGTACTTCACCTTCCTGTATACAGTACACGATCAAATGTAACAAGCCGTTCACAAATAGGGGTGTTGACAAATCCCTCAGTTCCCAGCCGATTCTGTCGCTACTGCCGCTAGTCCAGACTTCCGGGAGGAGGAGTTACTAGTAGTGCGTAATGCGTGGTGCGTGGTCTGTGTGATGACGCGTTTCGCCGTGTTCACGGCTTCATCAGAACTGATACAGTTAGAGCAGGCTTTCTCTGCTCTATCTTTGTGAGTGCAAACATCATTGTTTATTTCACGATAAGTTGTTTTTTTAACAGATTTACACTATTGTTGTTTTTTTCTGTGTCTCTCCCTTCCATATGTTCACTACTATTGAAGAGGACGCAAATACGTATCTATAAGTATATCTTATATGGTATTATCACTGTACACATTGAGTGCACTTTAAATCACTTTGCACTTTGTTATATTTTGCACTTGTGGCACTTTAGATATTTGGTCTTAAAGACAAAGGACACCTTAATTCTGAGTTTGTGGTATTGTATGAGTGTTTGCTGGAGCTTTACACTTGTTTTGGTGCAGCTTCTTTTTACAACATTCCTTGGTATTAATATTTATATTTTTACACACTTATTACTAGTGCCTGTTTTTTACTTGTTTTTGGTGTACATATTTTGCACACACTGGACATCCTCATGCAAAGAGTCATTTTACTGAGTTAAACTCAGTGAAACAGCAGGAAGCTCCTCTAGTGGCTGTCCCGGAGACTAGAGGCTATCTTAACACCGCTATGTAAACATTGCAGTTTCTCTGAGATCAAGTGATCGGAATGCCCATGGTGTCCCTTTAATGACAATTATATGCTTTATCTCTTATAGTGTTGCAGTGGCTTAAAGGGGACCCATCACTGTTTTGGAAATTACGCAGGTAAATAAAAAATGTTCCAGTCCGTGTGTAACAAAATATTGCATTGGAGAAGAAGAGACAGAAACACTGTTTCTATTTGTCCTAATCTTTCTTTGTTCTCTCTGAGCTGACTGACAAGTGCACAAGACAAGACAGAGCTTATAACAATGATTGACAGGGAGCCAAGATGGATGCACTCCATGCACAGGTGTGAATTTCTACATTTAATTTTATCTTTCAGACCTCGCAAACACTTATTTGTTATACAGAGGGGATAGGTAAACATATTACAAATACTGTGAAAGGACAGTTCCCCTTCAAAAAATGTTTTTAACTTATTCTAGTACACAAAAAGTTAAAATTAAAGGTAATGCTGGGATGTGTTGAGGATACAAAATTATGTTTTTGAATTGTGATTAACTCCCTGTGTGAAATGGAGATTCATAGCATAACGCACCTTTTTTGGTAATCACGTACACAATTAATTTCAATATAAGTTTCAATTTCCCAAAATATCAAATCCCTACTTAGATCATTATACACTGCTTGAATTAGCCATGACTCATTATATCAACCGCTGTTACTGACCAATCACTAATGCGATCATCATCAATCATTTTTATATATGTCACAACTGACATAATAAGACACATGGCATGTCAGGGCAGGGACCATTAAAATCCAACTAGCACTGGCTCCTAGCCCAGAAGGAGACATTTTTTTTCCATACATTAGTTAAGAGATCCCTCCATTTGTGGAAAGTTAGCTGTCTTTCCCCGAGCCTCGGATCTCGTTAACTTCTAAAAAGTACCCTCTGATAACCTCCTCTGTGACTTGCCCTGCGATTGAGATGGCCTTCGTGTGACCCTCACACATGGGATAGGGCATTCCCAGATGTGGTCCCTGTGCTTGTTTGAGAAACATTTTCAACATGATGTGACAAGATTGTGATAACCAGATGGGATTCAGTATGGCATCATATTCCTGCCAGATAAATTTCTGAACAGACAAAGAAATAATATGAATCATTTCACTCAATATTAGATTTAAGTCTCTGAGCAAGCCTGATTTCATGTCAAATAATGAAACTTGCAAATAACGTAACTCAATTTGCTCAACGAGACAGCGAACATCTTGGACTCGTTGGATTAGTTAGCAAGAAACATTATCTGAACGATTAATAGAGAGAGAGCAAGTGGAAAAAAACAGCAGAGAGAGCAATAAGTAGGCTTATTTGTAGACACAATGCAGGTCAAAAAAGTAAACTTTAATTTTATAATTGCAACTTTGTTCTCATGCAGTTCACTATATTCTAGATAACCGAGTGGTATTTGGAAGCAGTTGCTACAACTTGCTCCCATTCTTTCTCAGCCCAGACTTTCTGTTGCTGTCCAATCACATACTTCCCAATGCAGCTCAATGAGAAGTCTTTGCAAGGTAGGTGCTCTGAGCAATTGCTGCCTCTTGAGTTTAGCTCCACTGAACTAAACACACCAGGAAGTAACAGGACAGATTTTCTGCTTGACAGCCGCTGTGTGTGTGAGGATGGTGGAAGGGGAGTGAGGGGGTTAAAAATGTTAATTTATGAAAGAATCAATTTCTAGCATGAATCATTTTAGCAAGCTGAAGTGTGTTAAGGATACAGAGTGTCCCTTTAATTACCGAATTAAGTGGAGTATGAATGAAAATCCATTAATAAAAATTAAAAGATTTAAACTTTTCAAAATGCGCAATTGCTTGTAGTTTTTTTGAAATCATCCGCAAATAAGGCTCTAGAGTAGGTAAACCTTTGCCACTCCCGATGTTGATGACTACATGTCCCATGATGCTTTGCCAGCATTAAGGCTGTAAGCGCATTATGGGAGATGAAGTCCACAACATCTGGAGTGCCGAAGGTTCTAACCCCTGTGCCAGACTATTATAATTAACATCAATGAAGATCTTAAAATGCAAGCAGCAGATGCAATAATCTAATGAATGATACATTCGGTTATTCGTTCATACACACAATCACTTAGTTTATATAAACATGATGCATCAACCACCTCAGCTGCGTCTTATTTTATATATATATTCTATAAAATTGCATTTCAGAACTTAGTAAACTGTCACCATGTACATGGTTATGCTGAATTGACAAGTGACCTAATTTTGCAAAAAGAAACCAGAATCCGATAAACATCTTATTATTAACCTACTAATATCGGCCATACATGGGAAATCTGAAGACAAATCTCCGCACTCTGTGCGTCAGTTCCACATTCTTTGTAAATAGACACTAGAACAGGAGCATTGTGATTTGCAGACATTTCTGGATAAGCTATCATATATTTTTGTTCACATCATTCCACTATATTATATATAAGCAGCATTAAGGCATGTTTTTGACCTTGCGTTGCCGGTACTTAGATTGTCCAGGTTTGCTTTTCCTTATATTTATTTGCTGTGGATGGTGTGTACTGCGTATTTATGATATACTTTAAATCTTCCTCTTATTTTCGGAAAAGAACATTACAAAGTTTTTGGGTGTTTTTTCCTACAGTAAGGCTAACTTTGAAGGAAATGATTAAACTCCACCGACTGTGTGATAAAGGTGTCGCAGACGGCAGATCTGTGGACATATTTTAGGCTTTGTGTATACGTTAGTGCTGGAACTTGACACAAGCTGATTGTGTGCAAGTGAGAAAATGCTATTAATCTATTAGGTAAAGGCCAGTCGCAATGCTCAGAAGATGACAGCACTGGACTCTTAAAATAACACGTGTTAACAGCTGCATGATTCACATCTTAAACACAAGAAAAAAACATCAAATTAAAACCCTTTCATAGTTTGAAGCTTCTATCGAAGTACTGTTTGCGTTGACCAATATATATTTATTTTTTCCGATATAAAATAAAAACTAAAATGAACAAGATTGCTTGCGTAGATATGCATTTAGAAAGTATTTGCAAGGAAGTTTGTCTTGCAAATTAGAAGATCAGAGATGCAATTTCCGTTGTCACTAGCTCAATGTGATTAATATAACTGCTGGCTGGTGTTACGGAGGCTTGCCTTTCTGTCTAAAAATGTAGTAGCCTTTCCAAGCAACCCATCCATTTACGTGAATCACAGGCAGACAAAACCAAAAATGTACTCCTCGTTATTCATTACCTTATTGTCTTCTTTAAATGCATGTTTTAAACAAAGGAGGAGGAGGAGGACAGATTGTCACAAATTAAAACATAACTTATTGTAGACTTTCCCACTATAAAGCCATAAAGTCATATTTTTACCATCATTAAGGGACAGCTGTAAACATCTGGGGTAAATTTGTCCTATGTCTTCGGACCTGAAGGTCTGAAGCGCATTAGGTGTTTAGGTTGACCTTTCCTTCTGTTTGTTACTTGTTGTTTTCTGCTGATTAAACCTCCTGTGGACATTGAGTGCTTGTAGTGGCATTATTTAAATTTTTTGTTGTTGTTTTATTACTGGATTTGGAGTTCCTACGCCTGACGACCTGTCTTCCACCCGTGTAAGTGGGAACTTTGTGTTCCCATTACCTTTATGGTTTTTCATTTATGCTCAGAGTCTTATGCTTGTGACATTTTGGAGTTTGCTGCCCCGGTTCCCATTTTTTTCAAGTTTGACAGATAGCTCCCAAGTAGACATCTTTAGGACGATCTTTACGTTTTTGAGGCTCAAAGTTTTTTTACCTTACTGTTTCTATTTAATATTCACCTGGCGGGTTTGGCATGTAAATGTGTCCCAGATTTTCACGGAGAGAATTCAGATATTCAGAGAATACAAAGAACAACCTGGAACTCTTAGACAACATTTGGAGATTCAGTGCTGAAAATGCTCGGTAAATACTGACCCAACTAAACAAAAGATAGTTTCTGTTGTATCTTCAATATGGAATTTTTAAAGCGAGGGAAGGAAATTATATTTGTATCGCTCTACACACTACATTCCGTATGTGTTGTGTAAGGCTATTTACTGCAGATTCTGATTTTCTCTAGATATGAATAACGCAGGACCTTCGGAATCTGTTAATGGTCAATCATTTAATGGAGCAGCCGGATATGAGAAAATCCTTTTGACTCCTCTTCCACAGCGAAGATTTATTCAGTGTTAATTCCCAGTAGAGATACTCATCTTCCATATCTTCTTCTTCTTCTAAATGCATTTAATGTGGTCAGTGAACTTTTAACAAAACACCACACTGCTCATACGTGTGTGAAATGTGTAGAAATTCCTAACAGACCTCGATAAGTCAATTATCAGATTAAACTCTCCCTAAAGAATATTAAAAGTTTTTTGGGTTTTTTTTAAAGGGAAATTGCCACTGCTCAATACTTTTACATTATGTCTGCTTATTCTCTATAATTATCAAATATTTCCTTTCGAGGTCTGAAAAATAAATTAAATATATAGAAATCAGAACAATTTAAATTTGTATGCAAAAATGTGGAAAGCGCACTAAAAAAACCTGTGTATGTGTGATAACACTTCTTTACAAGATAAAAATGTTATATACTGAGTCCAGATGGTATTTCTATCAAAGAAAAGCTCCCATAGGGAAATATTATCTGTACAATACTTAAAACTATACAGTTACTATAATAGTCTTTAATCCTACTCACATTTTTATGAGCCTGTACAGGACTGGCTCAAGTATAGGGCATGAGTAGGTTGTAGAGATCTTGGAATATCCGTGGATGTATTTCTTCCCAATGTTATTTTATATAATGGAGATAAATAGCAGGAGATAAAATCTGTATATTTATTTCAGAAAAAATATATAAAATCCTTACATATAAAAACAGTATGCTGCGCCGAACATTTCTGACGTGTCACTCCCTTTAGAACACGTAATTTACGACCTTGCATTATGCTCGTTACCGGTATCTTTCGACTACAGGCTGGTTTGCCTTTGGTTCTTTTTTGCGCCATCTTTAAAAGCCTGCAGAAACCGGAAGTCCTCCTCTCTGACATATTTACCTACATAATGGCAGCCATTTTGGATCAGGTAAAATCCTATTAATCAGTGAGGGCAAAGACAGCACTGGACACTGTCAGGCCTGCAAAGAGACTACTGTCAAAAATAACAAAACACATTATTTTATGTCAAATGTCACTAATAAGAAATATGATATTGATTCTTTTATTTCTGGTAATGTTAACAATGTAATTTATCTTCTGACATGTGACTGTGGCCTGCAATATGTGGCAGAACCACGAGAAATTTAAAAACCAGAATAGGAGAGCACATTAGAAATATTAAAAATAAATTCCCTAATCATTGCATATCTGCCCATTTTGCACAATATCACAATGGTGACCCAAAATGTCTCAATTTTATTGGTATCCAAAGAGTGAAGAAACCATGGAGAGGGGGTGATTTCATGAAAAGTTCCACACTCACACTGTCATCCCCTCACACTGTCACCATCCCACCACACTGTCACCATCCCACCACACTGTCACCACGCACACAGTTTCACTCCCCCCACACACTGTCACCCTTCCTACACACTGTTACTCTCCCACACACACTGTCACCTCCTTCTGCCAGCCACACTTACTTTACCCCTCCTGTCAGTCTCATTACCTCCAACCATAACACACTCACATTCCCTCGCTTTGCCACACTTACCCTATCTCATTAACCCCCCCCCAATCCTGTCATACTCTCCCTCTCTCACGCTGTCTCACTCACCTGCAACCATTCATGAAAATATTTAAATAGAAAATATGATTCAAATATTAATGTTTTCTTATCTGTAACTTTATTATTTGGTTAATGATTTTATAAAAGCTTATTTGACAAACGTTCATTTTCGTTTTCAATTACACCTTCACGCCTGCAATTATGTATACAGGCTACACAACCATACACCACACTCGTATATAAACAATTAGCAAATTAATTTGTGTATTGCAAATATATTTAGTTTGTAAATGATGCCGTAACTACAGTCGGAAACTGTATGCGGTGGCACAGGGAGCCGCAACACTGCAAGCCTCTGAATGATGAATACAAAGACCAGCTCTGTATCTAGCGCTGCAAGCCCACCGTTCAATTTAACTAGAGCGCCTTATACACACACACAATGCAACCCCTATTTATTTTTCACTATGGGTGTTAGTGTGGGCCTTCTAAAGTCTAGAGCTTGTTAGATTGATAAGAAACTTGAACCATACCTGCTAATTTAAAAATGATAAACCAAGCTGTGTTCCTTTAATGCTGTGTTGCTGGGAGCGTAGTATGTGTTCTTTTTAGCTTTTGGCCGCAGCGATGCCAAAAACTAAGATCTAATGATCAGGATCCATGGTGAGAGTTCATCTGGACATGTCTTTCTGTCAGTTCCTTGTCTTGTCTTTCATATTGTGCAAGGTGATCTGCTGTCAGTTTTAACACGTTCCTTTTTTATCTTTCCTTTTTTATCCTTCACCTCAAGCTTTTAATTTTTTTTTTTATCTAACAAAGAACACTTTTGCTGTAAAAACTGGAATATAACATTAGTTGTGAAAGTTTGAGCAGTTGCAGAATGATACAGCTCTAACAATGTCTGTCTGTTATTGATAAGTGTTTGTGGTTTTAGGCTTCCAGTTAGTTGGAAATTAAAATCAGTAGGGAATTATTTGTGAATTATAGCTTCTTTTTTACTCTGTGCAGTTTAAACATAACTGTTTTGATATTTTGCTTCATTGATCATCTCTTACTTTCATTCCTCAATCGTCCAGGGTTCAAAGGGTTAAAATGTAAGTGGCAACAAACGTTTCCACTCACGGGGTGTTCTAATGGAGTACTGGGACTAGATATGGATCCCACGCAAAGACTGAGCCTTTGCAGCAGAATGTTACAATACAGAATGTTACATTCGGTAAATTTAGACAGGTAGTGGGTGTTGGGATGTGAGATTATAACCCGGTACTCGCTGCCTCTTTATATTTCGATATGCTTGGAGAGGGGGAATGTTTTGCAGCCTGGCGCACAGATCTTCTTCTGTCCCATTTCTAGAGAACATGGGCAGAAGTTTAGATTGTTATCCCTTTTAACCTTATGACAGCAGTGAGCAACAGTGGTAGAGAGAGAGAATGCATCATCACTTAGTGAAAGTTTGATTTTCTGTGTGAAAATGTATATGTGGGTGTGTGAGTGTATGTATGTACAAGTGTGTATATGTTTGAGTGTGTGTCTGTGTGTATGTTCATTTTTGTGTATGCTGAGTGTGCGCATATATATCGATAAGTAAATATGTTTGCAAGGGGTGTAAATAGCAAAACGAGAGAAAAGGTGATTGCGCAATTTTGATTTAACTCCAGGGTTATGTAGGTAATCCCTAGGCTCTGTAAATACAGAAAACCAACATAGGGTAGTACATTAAGACACCAAATGTAAAAAAATGATAGACTTAGGAAAACTCACAATCTTTAGAGCATTTCTAAGTTTGCTCTAAACTATGAAGGTGGAATACATCAGATGTGGATATGTCTGTGCTCGGTCTCCTCATAAGGTGTTTGCAGTCCTCTGTAGAATGGATCAGGAACCGGGTAGCCAGATGAATATATATTAAATACTTTTATTTATACAAAATAAAAAGCAATAAAAAGCACAACGCGTTTTGACCCAATGCAATGGGTCTTCCTCAGGTGCATGTGTAGTTACAACTGCATCAATCATCATTTATATATAGAAAACAATTAAAAAACGAATACAGGTGTATTAACAATAATCCCTCCCTCTTTTCCATATATGGAATACATCCGTTTTTTTTCTTGTATTTTTGCCTCCTCCAATATGTCCGCTTGCATCTTCTGGTCTGTATATATTGTTCTTGTCCTTCTCAACATGGTGACGCATTGCGGCTCGTTCCGATTCGTCATTTCCTTTTTTGCCATTTGCGGAAATCGTCACTTACGGTTTCGTCACACCGGCGCCATATCTCATATTGATAATGACGACGCTCAGCCTTCTTTATGGTCCAGCTCTCACATCCGTATGTTACTACTGGGAATACCATAGTTCTGACTATGCAGATCTTTGTTGATAGTGTGATATCTTTAGTTTTTACCAGCTTGTCCAAGCTTGCCATAGCTTTCCTCCCCAGACGCAAACGTCTTTTAATTTCATGACTATAGTCACCATCTGAAGAGATCTTGGATCCCAGGAAAATAAAATCTGTCACTGCCTCCACTTCTTCACCATCTATTCCCCCAGCTTTTGCACTCTCTTTTACCTTCATCGATAGGTCCTTTAGTTCTTTCTCAGTTTCAGCCATCAGAGTAGCAGTGGCGTACTAAGGGGAGAGCGGGGGGGGCGGTCCGCCCCGGGTGCCAGCCGGGTGGGGGGTGCCATGGCCATCCCCGCCGCCCCCCCCTCATGCTGCAGCCGCCCGAGCGCTCTGTATTGAGCCTCAGGTGGCTGCAGCTCTGCCCGGGCAGTGCGTCCATGAGGGCCTGAGAAAGGGGGCTGACGGGAGGGAGCGCTCAGCGCTCCCTCCTGTCAGCTTCCTTTGCTGTAGCGTGGCCGAGCCCTGCAGCATGATAGTCCGCGGGTACAGAGAGCAGTGTGCACTTCCTGTTAGTCCGGCCGGGTACAGGAGACAGCTGCTCTCTGTACCCGCGGACTATACTGGGCTTGGCCACGCTACAGCAAAGGGGGGGGGTGAGAAAAGGAGGGGGTGAAAGAGGAGAAAGGGGGTGAAAAAGGAGGGGGGTGAAAAGAGGAGAGAGGGGGCGAAAAGGAGAAAGGGTGAGAGAGGGGTGAAAGAGGAGAAAGGGGGGGGTGAAAAAGGAGGGGTGAGAGAGGGGGTGAAAGAGGAGAAAGGGGGGTGAAAAGGAGAGGGGGTGAAAAGAGGAGGGGGTGAAAGGAGAGGGGGGTGAAAAGGAGAGAGAGGGGGGTGAGAAAGAGGAGAAGCAAGGGGAGAAAGGAGCAGGGGGTGAGAAAGGAGGGAGGGGGGTGAGAAAGCAGGAGAAAGGGGGGTGAGAAAGCAAAGGAGGTGAGAAAGAGAAAGGGGGGGGGGAGAGGAGCGAGGGGGGGAGAGAAAGGAGGGGGCGGAAAGAGGAGAAAGGGGGAAAAGGAGGGGGTGAAAGAGGAGAGAGGGGGTGAAAAAGGAGAAAGGGGGGGTGAGAGAGGGGGGTGAAAGAGGAGAAAGGGGGGGTGAAAAAGGAGAGGGGGGGTGAAAAAGGAGGGAAGGTGAGAAAGAGGAGAAAGGGGGGGTGAGAAAGAGAAAGGAGGGGAGAGAAAGGAGGGGAGAGAAAGAGAAAGGAGAGGGGGGATGAGAAAGGAGAGGGGGGTGAGAGAGAAATTAGGAGGGAGGGAGAGATATTAGGAGGGGGAAGAGAAAGAGAAATGAAATTAGGGGAGAGAAATTGAAATTAGGAGGGGGAAGTGATATTAGAGGGGGAAAGAGAAATAAGGGGGTGGGTGAGAAAGAGAAATTGGGAGGAGGAGAAGGAAATTGGAGCGGGAGGAGAGATTCATCACATACACACAATGCACCCCTTGCACACAGAAAAACACACAGACACACATACACAAGCAATGCAACCGTTACACACAATGCATCCCTTACACACACAGAAACACACAATGCATTCATTACACATACTCAATGCACCCTTACACACATTCAATGCATCCCATACATACACAGAAACACCTTGCAGCCCTTACACATACAAACACAATTTCACACAATGCATTCCTTACACACATATCAGGGCATCCCCTACACACTCCACCCCCTGTGAACAAACTCATTGGTGGAACATGAAGGTGGACCCTGGGACCCAGACCTTGAGCTGTGCAAAGGACCCCCAAAAAATGGAGCTGCTTCCCGTTCTCCCAGAACATTGATTTTTGTGACCACAGTTACAAACCGCCTCCAGAGAGCCTGTTCTGCACCAGACCAGAGGAGCCAGACTGCAGCTAGAGCCCATCATCATCCTCATCTGGTTGTAAGTAGGCAAATCTAGTATATTATTCTCGTGGCACTAAGCCTCCCACTTTACCCTCACATTGAAACACTAGTCCCCAGAACCACTCTCACAGCTTAATGTAGTGGTTCTGGTGTCTATAGCCTGTCCCTGCAGGCCTTTAATGTAAAACACGGGCTGACAGCCGGTTTGAAAGTTTACAGTTCGTGCTATTATAAACCCTTAAAATTTTACAGTTTTTGTGGGGGAGGGGTACCAAGCACAGGATCCGCCCCGGGTGCCAAATGCTCTAGGTACGCCCCTGCAGAGTAGTATCATCCGCGTATAAGAGGTTGTTGATATTTCTTCCAGCAATATTGATTCCAGCTTTGGATTCATCCAGCCCAGCCTTAGGTATAATGTATTAAGCATATAAGTTGAATAAATAAGGTGACAATATACAACCTTAAGGAAAAGAAGGACCCAAAGGAGAGAAAATACCCCAAGGGTCCAAAACCTGTAGGCGGTCCCTAGTTAATACCTGTACAAGTTAAAACGTAACTTTTAATATTAGTCAATAAAAAATATACTAATGCCTATAACATGAACCCAAAGACGACAAAATAATAAATAAAGAATGTAGGCAGACATAGAGCCGTAACACCTTAACTCTTGTGCAGGGTTTATTCCCCAATGGATTAATCACCAAGCCTAATAATGTCCGGGGAAAATCATCCTGAACACTGGTTGCCGTAGTGCAGTTTGATGGGAGTAAAGGCTGATTACTATAGAGCTCTCATCTTCAACATATATGGGTGGGGTGTATAGCAACCTAATGCACCCCAGATCACTGTGGATGCCGAGCTCTTACATAATAACTCTGCCGGGCTATAATACAGGCGTATAAGTGGGGGAAAGTAGCAATACAGCAATACAGCAATACAGCAAGACAGTTTAAACTTAATAAGACAAATAATTATGACTGCTAGCTGCTAAGACTCTAATCTAGACTAAGCACAGATGGAGTGTGTAGACTTAAACTAGTGAAAAGAGTATATTACGATGCCAGCTGCTAAAATACCCTAAAGTCTACTGACTGCTAAGAATCTCATCTAGACTGAGCCCAGATGGAGTGTGTAGACTTAAGCTGGTGAAAAGAGAATATTATGATGCCAGCTGCTAAAAGACTCTAGACACCCTTATTGACGCACCCCCAGTCCCACTGGGTAGAGGACTGCAGCTTGAAACCCCTGCTGGACTGTAAACTGTTCGTCCTAATGGTGAGAAGTATCATGGGATTGTACCTAGTATTACAGTGTAGCGAGATGGCTCATTGTGAAGGGAAACCCCTCCTAAATATCAATCAACTGATACACTCTATCTACTTCCCCTGGGCAGAGTAAATATCATCATACAGTGCAGTCCCCTTACAGACCACCCATGCTGCTCAGAGTGGAAGTAAATCCGAGGTCTAGTAAGGGAAACGTTCCCCCATTAAATAACTAAATTCCCCACCGCCAACACCATCAAGCTAAACTAAGTGACTACGGCTAAGGTCGGATAGGAGATACAAGGTGCGTCTGCCTACAAGCTGCCTAGCTGCCTGACGCGCGTTTCGGCGCTGCTTAAAGCGCCTTCATCTGAGGCAATATACAACCTTGTCACACTCCTTTCCCGATCTTGAACCATTCTCTTGTCCCATGTTCGGTTCTGACTGTGGTTTCTTGGTCCACATACAGATTCCTCAGGAGGCGGATGAGATAATCTTGTACTCCCATCTCTTTAAGAACTTGCCACATGTTGTTATGATCCACACAGTCAAAGGCTTTAGAATAGTCTATGCAGCATAAGTAGATGTTTTTCTGGAACTCTCTGGCTTTGTCTTTTATCCATCGTACATTGGCAATTTGATCTCTTGTGCCTCGTCCTCTGCAGAACCCAGCTTGTACATCTGGTAATTCCTGGTCCATATATTGTTTGAGTCGAGCTTGTAGGATCTTAAGCATTACCTTGTTGGCATGTGAAATTAGTGCAATTGTTCGATAATTGAAGCACTCTTTGGCATTGCCTTTTTTGGGGATTGGAATGTAGACTGACCTTTTCCAGTTCTTTGGCCACTGTTGAGTTTTCCAAATTTGTTGACATAAGGCAAGCAGAATTCTCATAGCATCATCTTGCAGAATTGTGAATAGTTCAATTGGGATTTTATCAACTCCTGCAGCTTTGTTATCTGAAAGGCATCCTAGGGCCCATCTCACTTCGCTCTCCAAGATTTCTGGTCCCATCTCATTGGACCAACTATTGAGGTAATCAGTGCTGTTAAGATCCTTCCTGTATAAATTGTCAGTGTATTCCTGCCATCTCTTCTTTATCCTATTTTCTTCTGTTAAGTCCCTGCCATTTTTGTCTTTTATCACACCCATTTTGGCATGAAAGGTAACTTTTAGATCCCCAATTTCCTTGAATAGATCTCTTGACTTTCCCATTCTGTTATCTTCTTCTATCTCTCTACATTGCTCATTGTAGAATGTCTCCTTGTATCTTTGGAATTCTGCATTCAGTTGGACAAATGTTTTCCGATCTCCACTACCTTTCGCTTTCCTTCAGTCTACACAGTCTCCTGTTGGAAGAAGGTGTTTGCTATGACCAGAGAATTATCTTGACATAATTCTACTAATCTTTGACCTGCTTCATTTTGAACTCCAAGGCCAAACTTGCCAGTTATTCCAGGTGTCTTTAGGTTCCCTTCTTTAGCATTCCAGTCTCCCATGAGGATAGTAGCATCTTTTCTTGGTGTTATATCTATCATGTTTTGAATATCTTCATAGGACTGGACAATGTAAGCCTCTTCAGCATCCATGGTTGGAGCATAAACTTAGATCACTGTGATGTTAAATAGCTTGCCTTGAATTCGAATTGAAATCATTCTGTCATTTATTGGGTTGTAGCCGAGCACTGCTTTGCCCACCCGATTATTTACTATGATGGCTACTCCATTTCTTCTGCGGGATTCTTGACCACAGTAGAAGATGTGATGGTTGTCTGATGTGAAATGTCACATTCAAGTCCATTTGAGTTCACTAATTCCCAGGATATCGATGTTTACCCTTGTCATCTCATGTTTGATCACATCCAATTTGTTTTGGTTCATAGTTCTAACATTTCAGGTTCCTATGTTAAATTGTTCTTTGCAGCAGCAGACTTTCCTTTCCCCTCCAAACACATCCGCAGTTGGGTGTCCTTTCGGCTTTGGCCCAACTACTTCATTAGATCAGGTGCTACTCATACTCGCCATCTGCTCTGCCTCAGTAATGTGGTAGGCACCTTCTGACCTGAAGGGCTCATCTTCCAGTGCCATGTCATTATGTCTCTGGTTGTGCTTGTCCATATAGTTATCCTAGCAAAGTGGGTTGCTAGTTCCTTCTCCAGTGGACCGTGATTTCTTTGACTTCTCTGGTATGACCTGCCCATCTTCGGTGTCCCTACATGGTATAGCTCATAGCTTCATTGAAGTACACAAGCCCCTTCACCACGGCAAGGTAGCGATCCAGAAGAGGACTCACATTCTAGGACTGGAGAAACATTCTGCAAAGAATGGTGAAAAAAATGGGGTCATTTACTAAACCAAGAATTATTAAGAAGTGACAAATACATTTTTCAATTCAGCTCTTATTATTTTTTATTTTTTTATTTTCTATTTATTGCATAGTTTACATTTACAATACAATGCAAACTGCATATAAAAAGGTTGAAACCATCTCTTTGTACGCTATTGTATTGTGCAACCGCTGCATGAAAACACAGAGCTTCTGCTCTCATTAATGTACAGTATAATATAATAAAAGAAAATATTGGGAATGATAACACACTGAAATAAGTGAGATCATGTGGAGTTATTCTATGTACTGTACAGTTAGTGTGACTTACGTTACTGCCAAATGTCACATACTGGCTTCTAATTTAACCTCATGCACAAAATGTACTTAAATTGTTTTCCATTTGGGACTCTGCATGTCCTACTCTGCACTTATTCAGTGTATTACATTTTATTTTTAATGTTTAACACAGGCATAAAAGTCTGTTTTATGTTTTACAGAATGCTTTTAATATATATATATATATATATTTTTTTTTTTTCGTTTTCTGCTTTTCATTTTGAGGTCACTAACCTGCTTTCATCAGAAGTCACGTAAGGAAGTTCTGAATACACCTATTCTTTGTTCTACACAAATGTTTAAGGTATAAAGGAGAATTCTAGGGCAATATTCTGACGGTGGAAAAATCATTACGAATATTCCATTGGTGTCTATAGCAACTGCTCCATTTTAAACCCCACAATGATGCTCTAAGAAGTAACCCCATTGTGCTTGGGTAGAAAAACTGTGTTTTCGTTTTGACATAACCAGTTGGTTTCAGTTGTTTGATCACTTGCTATAATTCCAGCAATAAAATCAAACATTCATGTCCCCATGTCTCGAGCTGTGCGTTTCATTCAGTGCCGTAACCTACACAGCGGATAGTGCTAAAGGTGAATACAGTCATCACTGCAGCGTGTACAGTACATTCAGTGACATTTTCCAGGTAATGAGATATTTCGATATCTGCAGACAGATTTAGCGTTAGTGCCTCACAAGTACAAGATCATCATGAAACTCTTCTTATATTCTTGCAATATAACCCATCAACCACAGCTATAATAAATATGTTAAAACGTAAATTGGTTGTGTCACTCAAAATATGTAGAATGTAAGAAATTTGCAAATATTAAAGGCAATCAATGGTCAAAAATTAACCTTATTTTTAATACAAAACCTTTTTTTTTTTTTTAAATAGTAACATTCCAAAATCCTAGAGATGCACAGATCAGATAAGCTGACTGTGGCTTCAGTGGACCACTCCCTTAACACCAGGAAGAAGCCTAACCTTCTGGTTTATAGAGTTTGATCTTATCTCGTAAACCCCTGTCCCCTAGTTCATTGCCCAGCCTATGCAATGGTTAGAACTCCTTTAAAAGCTGGTAGCAAAGCTCGCAGAACCTTCAGAGGAGGTGGTATTTGCTCTGGTCCTGATTTCAGCTCATGTTGAGCCAATATGTTTCCCGCTAGATTTTTAAATGTTTCTAGCCATTTCATATGTATTCTTGTAAAAAAAATTAAAAACACACAAATGACAAGGCATGAAGGGTGCATTGATGTAATATGTGTATGGTATTTATTTTGTGTATGTATTTTATGGTTGTGTAATGAGATTTGTATTTTGTATATTTAAGTTGTATGATGTGTACAATGTGTGTATGGGTTATGTATCACTGTATATGTAGAAAGCAACTAAAATGGGGGCGCCAAATTCAGAGTAAAGTTTGAGGAGTCAATAACTTTTATTACTAATGAACCAATTTCAATGATATTAAACACAATGAATGCTTAACATATGGAGATTTGTTTGACTCGGTACAGAAGATGACATCTTTTAAATGAGCTTGATTTGACGCCTCACAAAGTCAGATTCCTTAGATTACATTATTCATAACATTTGTTAATGTTTGAGGCTCTAGCTCTCAAATTTCTGTAGGGATGTTCTTTTCGAGTTGCTCATGTGTACGCGATTTGATCACATACAAACGCTTCTTTAGATATCACCACAAGAAGTAATCAGGAGCTGAAAGGTTGGGCAAATGGGGTTCCACTTGATAAAGCCTTAGTTGGTGAAACGCGTTGTGGATTTTAATATAACTTTATTTTTTACAATAAAGTATTTTTGACCACTTTTTATCTTGTAAAGCAGTATACTTTTATTTCATTGTTTTATATTCTCTACCTGGCATCCTGACTACTAACCGCAGAGACTGGATAAAGAATCCTAGGTGGGGATTATACCACCTACACTCTACACTGTGAGCACTCCATTTTATCTCTTTTATTTACACCTATACTTACCTAGCACTATTGTGTTTCTTTTGTCTTTTGGTTGATCTACGCGGACAATATTCTGCTGCAGACGAGCAAGTGCAATTCAGCTGCATAACCTACAAGTTGGATTTTATACCACTGTGCTGTCTAAACTAGAGCTAGTCCACGCTCTAAGAAATGTGAGTTGGCAATCACTTACCTAGCCTGTGTAGACTGTATTCCATTTAAGTTGGCATACAACACTATTGGAGTTTTCCTGTGTCTCTGCTTCTAACTAACAAGAAAGGAATACACTCTATGGACTAATTGTTACTTTCGTTAATTTTCTCTGCCTTATTTTATAATTGTCCAATTCAACAATATTTTGTGTGGCAATTTTAATTGTTTGGGTGCTACCTCTTATTTGCTTTTTTTTTTTTTTTACGTTACTAGCAGAAAGCTGTAAACCAATCAAATCAGTGGAAATGGCCAAATCCCTTGTAGCCCAATTAATTAAAATTTCAGCTGTAAACTAGAAATGTTTTGCAAATGTTGGAAATAATGTGTCCAGTACTCGGGTAATCCACAAGGATTACTGCAAATATTGCATTAGGTGTCATTTGATTCTGAAAGGGTACTGTAGTAACCATGAACAAGTTAATTCTTCGGCATCGAGACTCTTTTGGGAATAATTTGAAGCTGGAAAATAATGACTTGCAAGCACCCATTGAGGAATGTTTACTAAAGAACTGGATAATGAGCATGGGGAGCTTTTAAAAACCAACACTTCCTATTTGTTATTGTAGAAGCCGCAATGGGAATCTGGTTCGTGATTTCCTGTGTACGTGAACTCATTGTTGGGAATAATTATGCACGGATTCAGGAAGAATCTGCATGTATGCTAATAGGAAAAACACGTCAGGAGAAATTGTATCTACAGTGTAATTGCTCTGCTAGAAAATAAAGGAAAGGAGACAAGGAAGACTTCGGTTTTAATAAAACTTGATCCCTCTAGCTATTATAAGGGGCGTAATATGGAACGGAATGCTTGCCCTCAATTACCCATCCATCCCTTTTGAATGACTGTTACTGGATGCAGCACTAATTGTGTTGAGGGACAAATTAATTTTCTATATCCTTAACTTTCTCCAAAGCTCTGAGTAATACACGTGAGATATGAACAGCCTGTCATTTAATAAATAAAAAATGACTGATCACAAGTCGAGTCTCGGCATATTATTTATCTATTTCAAAAAACAAACAAATTGTCTAAGGCACTGGTGTATAAATTAAATAAAATGTGCGTAAGAAATAAAATTTTCAACGGCACAAACATCTGTGTCTTTGGACACACACGCACTACAAATAATTTAAATACAAAATGCGCTTTGCTTAATGCTTGTAATAATATAAACTAGGTTCCTTAAAAAAACAGGGATTGTAAACATGGCAAAGACAAAAAAAAACAACTAAATTCTCCAACCCAGTTATTTTATCATCTTTGCTAGTTTGGTATAAAATAATTTTCTCCTCAATGCCTGAATTAGGTAATTTTTCAGACTGAGCAAGTTGCCCTTAAAATTCTCAAAACTAAAAAA